AAAAAGACGTATACGCTTCGTGTTCAATGGGAGAAGGGATAAGTAGCGAAAATAAATTATCGTTTCTGCTAAGTGTCCTTATTAGCTATTTCCTCCAATTATCTTGTTAATTTTGGGCGGGTAGCAGACGTCCTTTCAAGACGATATTTCAATGCCACATGTACCACATTATCTATAAAATTAAATGTACGTTATATATAGAGAGAGAGAGTATCTATGAGTGGCAATATATAAGTTGGAAACAAGGAAACGCAATTTAATTTTGATGGATTAGCCAAAAGATTTGCATCGTTTCACTGTTGAGATTTCGTCTTCTACTACTTTCTGATCAACTTGATAAATACATCTAATTAAATTAGCTAGTTTAGCTAGCACATGACTCAGTCGCAAGACTCACAGCTCACAATTGGCCAATGTGGACTACTAAGAAACTATATACACCAATACTTCAGCTGTCATTTTCATTTCAAAGGAGGCCTTATGAATACCACCACATCATAATATTATTGATATGCATATATATATATATATATATGTAGTTTCGACAAGTGGCAATTACACATGTGTAACAGTGAAAAGCTGCTAACGCGTTCTAAGAAGGTTTGCGTATGCAATAAATATCACTCATATCACACGTCTTGTTCTACAAACTTTAATAATCAATAGAAGAAATCATGACAACATCAACATAGAACAATTTATTTAATCTATTCCAGGGAGATATCTCTCACATGAATTATTCTTTTCATACCATATGAAACATTTCGTAATGAAGGGAACAACAAAAGGTACTTTGAAAGAGGCCTCAAAGATCGTTAAAAGCCGTGTTGATCACCAGTTTTTTTTTTTTTTTTTCCTTTTTTTTTTGGAGGTCGTTTTGCTTTAAACGCTGAATGGTTTTATATGATTTAAAAAAAAAAATGCTAGCAGAACGGTTTATGCAGGACAATAATATTGTAGTAGTAATATCTAATATGCAACAACTTGGCTATACTTGGCTTTAGTCAATTGTTATTTTCACGATAATAACCCTTCTATACATAACTACATAGTAGCTTTAATTAGTTCACGTACAAAGGTCCAGTTGCAACTCTCTCTCGTATGGATTCAGATTCATAAGCTTAGTATTTTCTGTTATCTTTATTTAATAAAGTCAATAGGGTAGTTAATCATGGAGAAAGAGCTATCTGACTGTCTGAGGGGTGTCAATCTAGTTAGAATATATCTCTTATTTAACTCTTGATAATGATAACTGCTTTATTTATGGAAAGAAAATAAAGCCTCTTTTGCATGATCTTTCTTTTCATTAAACTATCTTCGGAAAATAGAAACCTTAAAGGTGAGAAGAATTAGCTCTTCAAAGATATGGTCATCGAAGAGATATGAAACAATGGATCATATCACTCCAAGCATCTGACTTGCTAGAGAGATTCCTTTTTGTATGAAACGATTAGGGAAAAAAAACCTAGGAACGGATATATCATGAAACCTACTTCAACCTCGCATACTACAAGGAAGTAAGCCCCTTTTGTTCAAATTAACTTATGGTATATATATGGTAAACTAATAATGATACATACTTAAAGGAAAGGTTCGTATAGATAAAGTTCGGCAGCAAATATTGAGTAGAATAATAGTGAAATGCTTCAAGAATCTTTGAACAGAAAGGTAAAAAAGAAAAGTACGTACTTGTTCTAATAAAGAAAACTATTATGAACCAGTGTCCAACATTGTTGGGATTAATAATATTTAAGGTTATAAAAGACTATAATTCTTAAAGTGATTATATGTGACAATTTCAACAATATGATCTAGTGTTTGATAATTTTTTTTTTTTGGAAATATTTTCAGAGAGTGCAATTTTTAGTAACAACTTGTAAGTCGACCGCTTATAACACGAAATCCAGTCACTTTTCACTTCTATTTTGATGAATTTCTACAGCCAACAAAAACAGAATCAGAAAATTTCTAAAACAACACATCTATGCTTGCAGAGTCTGATCATGATAATTTCATATTCGCCAAAAAAACAAAAAAAAAAGTACGGACGGTATTGCACGTCGTTTTCTCATTTTATCATCTTGCAAAACTGTAAACTCCGATTGGTTTTTGCCCAAAGTTATTCATTTTTTTAAATGAACGTTATATATTCAATTTTATTATGGAATACTTACGTACTCTTGGTCTTGATCAAAAGTGAGTATTAGATTACTTGGCCACAAATATAAGTTGTGTGGCTTTGCTTGATTTATTCCAAGCCCTTGAACTGATTCCCCACATTCACTAGTACTTTTTCTCGGAAAACTACCTCATTTATGTGAGGATCAATCTACTCATCATATACCTTTTTGACTTGCTCTTTCTTTCTAGCTCCTTTTTGTCCTAGTTCTAACTTGTTGGAATAATTAATTTACTGCATTAATTTTTATGTGTATGGCATACAATCATCAACGAGAGGAAACAAACATAATCCAATGAAGATTAAAATTAAGATTATAAGACAAATTCTTTGTCCACTAATATGATCTATAACGAATTAAACACAAGTGTAAGCTGCTAAGGAAAGTACTTAACATAAAGAAGAGAATTTGTGCCAGTCTTTGTTAAATATGGCTTTATGTCCTTCTAGATGAATATCTAGTCTCCTATTAAGGGTTCGGAATGTTGCATCATCACAAGGAATGTTAATATTCCCAGATGGGATTTAATTCTTTGACTAATACACCGATCTGTAAAGTTCATTTTAACATTAAATTAGGAGAAAATTAATGAAAAAAAAAAACACAATCACTTAAATTCCTTGCAATTTGTTGGGGGATTTTTCCAAGATAGTCTAAGATCACAACATGTGTCATGAACTCGGCTGGAGAAAGAAGATCGAGACCGGGGTATGCAAAGGGATCGATGCTCACCATTGATCTAGGGGATGAGTGGGTCTCGATTGATGAGAGACCGAGACCAAGATTGAGATCGCGAAGGACTCCGACACATCGAGACCGAAGCAGATCAAGATTGAGGGGAGAGCAGTAAAACTTGTGTCAGAGAGAGAATCCTGAGGCAGTGACACACGTCCTACTTTCCTCTAATTTACGTGTAAAGTGGATAACGGAATTGAAAGTGACCTTTACTAGATTAGGAAGCTTTCCAAGGGCTTTCTGAATAAAGAATGTCCTACGAGAAATCCTAAAGGGAAAGAATTGACGACGTGTCATGATCATAATGGATTGAGAATATCTATATGATCATGACAATCAACGTATAAATAGAAAACGATGAAGGAAAAGGATCCTTTGACCGAAAAAGAAGAGGAGACCTTTTGAGACCTTCTCTAATCTGAATTCACATCTCTATCTTTCCTTTATTCTTAAATTCTTTAGATATTTTCTTAACTTGAGTGTCTGAGTGTCTTCTGCAGGATAATTCTCGGTGTCCCCCAACTAAGGAGTGGACGAAAAAAGGCAGAGGAGAAGACAGAAAATCCCCAAAAGTTGACGTTTGGAAAATCGCACAAACATAATTCAATGCCAAAGGATTGGATCACATATATGACTAGAATAACTAGAGCCTTCTAATTAACTTAAGCGGTGGTAGGTACGTATTTGTAGAAACAGTGATCAATATTAATTGCTGCTTTGCTAGCTGAGATTTGAATCATATATTGAATTCGGTTAATGAATTAAATAAGTACTTGACACTAGTACTATATATATATATATATATATATCAAACAAGCAGACTTTTTGAAACTAAATGAAATGCTTATATAACAGATTTCGATTTGTTCAAAAGTCAAAATTGTTCAGACAATATGCACAAATTAGGCAAATTATAGTCTTTATCGAATACAAATTAGGCATACAGTTAAAGAAATTTTGGTGAAATGCAAACAACTTTGATCGGATTGATCACTTTTTATGTAATTAATTGTTTTTGTAGGGTACTTTTTCTGTTACATAACCAACTGTCCCATATACTTTGGTTGGTTAAGGATTATTAATATTAGTTTCACGCGGTCGATGCCGATATATATCGAATGTTTGCTGACTATCTTAATACAATTTCATGTCAAAACCCACTGTTGAAATATGTCGTTTCCTCATTAATTCTAATTTTTTAATTCAATCCCTCACTAATTACACACTCACTCTCTACTTCTTTGATGCACTATTCAACCTACCCCCAAATGTTGAACTTCTAGTCCTTCCATTTATGTACTAAATAGACTAGATGTGTCCATAATAAAGTCGAAAAAAAACCGAAAAAAAAAAAAAAAAAAAAAAAAAAAAAAGAACAGTAATGACACCTAAATCACTAATTAAAGAAAAAGGACTGATCATACAATCTAATGAGATCTATGGTCAACACCATTGCTTAATTACGCGGGATATCAAACTATGGGCCAATGTCACGACTCCATTGTGCTTAGTGTTTAGCCGTAACTATAGTGTATTTTATTAGTTTTAGAGCACAAGATGGTAAGTATTTAGTGGTCGGTCACAAATTATTTTATTTGATCTTCTGAAAACTTTGGCCATCATATGTACATCTCTCACATCATATTCACATGGTGCAAAACATAGTACGACTGGAGAATCAAACATATGTAGATAGATATAACGAAAGTTTAGAATAAAAAAATACTACTTGGAATAAAAATAATAACAGTTATAATAATAAAATAAAGAACCACTAGGATTATGATCTCCTTAGCAGTGAAAGACTGAAAGATCATGTACAAATTCATGTGACAAGTTGTCTAGAAGTATGTCCGCGTGCCTGCGAAACAGACCCAAAAAAGTCAAACGGTCAAACCCCCAAAACAAAAAAAAATTAAGCAGTTTGGTTCTAACTTTTCTATATAATAATATGTCCAAGGTAGAAACTTTTTTTTTTAAAGTATTATTATTCATAATTATCTTCTCAAATTCTGCCGCGTTCAATCACACACGCACACTGTATGCTTCACCTTTTTTCCTCTTCTTTCTCACAAGTCCGAAACAAAACCAATTAGTATTATAGGATTATAATTAATTATCAGTCCAATCCCATCTTTAGACCTCTCTATATATAGTTCTCTTCCTTTCTAATCTTTTACATAAGACGAACCAAACAAAGAAAGAAAGAAAGAAAAGAAAAGAAAGCCAAGTACTCCTCTTACCTCCATACTCATCACCAACCTCTCTCTCTCTCTCTCTCTCTCTCTCTCTCTCTCTATATATATATATATATATATATATAAACTAACTAAAGATATATAGCACTTCTCTTTGAGCTAGCTAGGCAGGCAAATTATAAACTAGCTAGATTGAATGGATCATATTATTCCTCAAGTGGAGAAATACGATCTTTCTGCTGCAAATAATGAAGAAGATCAAGTGGACTTAAGGAAAGGTCCATGGACAGTTGAAGAAGACTCGTTGCTCTTCAATTACGTCTCTCTCCACGGTGAAGGCCGTTGGAACTCCCTCGCTCGCCATGCAGGTTCGATTTTACTTCTTATAATTCTAATCATAAGTTTCTTTTTTGAATGGTAATTTTAAGCTTTAATTTCAATATGACTTCTTTCTTTTCAAATTGACATGATCTTTAATCAACCTCAAATTAAGGATAAAACTGATCTTTTCTGGGAAATAACCGGAATTCAAGCATATTAATTAATTCGCCTTTGATATTACTTATTTGTTTCTGTTTAACAATTAATACAGGTCTAAAAAGAACCGGCAAAAGCTGCAGATTGAGATGGCTAAACTACTTGCGTCCGAGTGTGAGACGAGGAAACATTACTCTCCAAGAACAGCTCTTGATTCTTGAACTCCATTCTCGCTATGGCAACCGGTAACTATACCCATTTTCCGATATTAATAATTATTATTATTTTTATTGAGTAATATTTTCAAGATATATATCTATTGACTTTTTTTTATTATGTGTATAATGACTTTATTGTTTCGTTAAATTCCTAAAGGTGGTCCAAGATAGCCCAATACTTGCCCGGGAGAACGGACAATGAAATAAAAAACTATTGGAGAACCAGAGTCCAAAAGCAAGCCAAGCAACTCAAGTGTGACGTCAACAGCAAACAATTCCAAGACGCCATGCGTTACGTATGGATTCCCCGCCTAGTCGAACGGATCCAGGCGACCCGACCAGATTCATCTCACTCGGGCCAACCCAACACCAAAACCAACCCCGTGTCCTCCAATATTTGTCTTGAGAACGATGCGAGTGGGGTTGCCCCGTGGGGCTCCGACTTGGTTGGCCCGAATAGTTTCATGTCCGACGTGTCAGGTACTTCGTCCGACACGTCGGATGCCCAGGTGTCATCGGTTTCAGACATAACTGATTGCTGTAACCTAGTGGGTGGTAACGGGTCGGTGGAAAACCTGTCGATGAATGGTACGTTTCAGTACGGATCGGATATCCAAGCGAATGGCCAAAGTGATCATGGTTGGTTGAGTGGTGGGGACTCATTAGAGAATTGGTGGAGTGAAGAGGATCTACGGTTCTTCCAGCAACAGCTTTCTGATGAATTCTAATTAATATCAAGAATTCGCTTACGTGACGCATTAATCGTGACACCATGATACATAAGTGTAGCGCTGATCATGTTGCTTAATTTGACGTCTTAGGTGCATAGAGACAACGTCATATATTAATATACCTTTTTTTAATTTGTTTTTCTTCCTTAGGTAACTTTTACGGTAGATATTGTTTATTCATATTGCACGTTAAATTATATCATAAATATCACAATAACAGCAATAGATTAAAAAAGTTAAACCTTGTATAAAAAAAAAAGGGAAGCTTCAGACATGTGCAATACAAATAAGATATATATATTTTTTTATAATCTACCATAAAATTCTCCTGTATTGAGCCAAAAAAAATAAAAAATAAAACTGGCCATTACTTAGTTTGCTTTCTGTTTGGTTTTAAATTTTTAGTAGTACGGTCTCGCCCTTCATACCAATTAGTATGGAGATTGGAGATTAATCGATTAAAGCTTTTCTTGTGAAATTTAAATTCAGCGTTTTTTGCACGTAAATTATATAATTAACTAAAAGAAGATCAAGATCAAGATCAGGGTACAGGACATGGAAATGAAATAAATGTTAAAGTTTCCGTGTATACGATACGTAATCAAGGACAAAAAAGAAATTTTATGTATCTTACATTACTTACATTGTAAGTACGTATTCTAGAAAGTCGTTTGTGTTTCTAATTATAAATTAAAACGGCGTAGGCAGCCACTAAAGTCTAAATAGAAGTGGTAATCCACAGCCATGACTTTAACAGAATATAAACGTGACGGGGTTTAATTATTAGATCATTTTTTATAATAAAAAAGGGGCCGGGGTATGGCCAACAATTAAATGTGTACTTAGAAAGTAGAGAGAGATTCAACAGCCTCTTCATTTGAAGCACTAATGGCCGCAACTCTTGAAGCAACTATATGTATATATGTATTGATTTGGTCTTAGAAGAGAGCAATTTCACCTTCTATATGAAATAAGTCGTCAATTCAATGCCCATATATATATATATATATAGTCGAACCCCTAATGAAAATATTAAATAGCTCGGATGGCATCTAGATTCAATGGATTTTTGTTGTGGGCAAGCCCCAAAAACTGTACTAAAGTCTAAACAATCAAGTTCAATTACTCTCTGAAAAAGTGACTCTACTCAATCCCTGAAGTCGTGGTTGGGTTCGTGCCGCTGTGGGAGGGTGGTCTGAGGGCTTTTTGGCCTTGGCGTGGGTTTGGCTGTGGTGAGGCTGTGATGGCTCCAGTGGTTGGTGGCCGGACTTGGGTGACGAGGACTCCTGGGTGGCTGGTGTTGAGGGACCCCGTGTCCGCGGATTGTAGTGGTGACTGTTCTCTGGTTTTGTGTTTATTGTTGTTTTCTATTGTAATAAAGGTGGCATTTGTTCGCCCTCGCATTGTAATAAGGACAATGGTCTCCTCACCCGACCCTCGTTTATTTTATCGTTTAATTTTTATTTTTAGTGTCCGACATGAAGCCAGGTATATGTCCATTGATAGGGTGGTCTTGATCTGACTAGAATCTGTTCTAGGCCACATAGATGACCTCACTTCATGGGGGGTTTATGATGTGGCCCTCTAGGGTGTGCTCATTTGTAGTATGTCGAGGTAGTTTTCCGTTGTCAGTCTTCAGGCGTGCGTTTTACCCTTTGAAGGGTCAGTGGATTTGTAACCGAGACGATTGTTTATTAGTTTTTCTTTTAATGCATTTTCTCTTTTAAAAAAAAAATGTAACATTAATGGTTCATTTTAGATCGGTTTAATGGTAATGTTGTTCATTCTATACTTGATAAGATCTAAGACCATCTACAATGCAAATGCTAATGCCAATTGTATATATAACATTAAGAAATATGATATGGTATGTTATTTTTATTTTTACTCCAATGCATAATGTTATTTAAAATGCTAAATCTATTTTTTTTTTCTTATAATCATTAAGTTTTGAAAGTTGTAAAAGTAAATTTTTATTTTTAAAATAATTAAAAAATGTAAAAAGTGTAATGATTACATGAAAAAAATATACAATTCAACTAATAGTAATCAAATGTCAAATTTTTCATATGCTATACTTAGTGGGAAAGTTGCCACAAAGTTTAGCATATGAAAATTTGACACAATAAATAGCATTAAATTAGAGTGTTTTTTCACTCAAATGCTAAAAATATATATTTAGCACATTAATTTTAATATTGCATTAGAGATGTTCTAAATAGACAAATTATATATGGATAATCTACTTCTTCATGAGTGATCTATATGCCGAGCAAAATATAGTAATTGTAATCTTTTTTTTCCCTTCTATACAAAAAAAAAAAAAGATGTTTTAATATTTATGGTATGATTTTGTGAGGAAGAGTGAAAACCAAATCCAATATAATAGAACTCACTTATATTAATTTTAAATTAATAAGTAACTCCATATATGGTTCTCCGTTATCCATCCTTCTATATTGAAATTGCATGTATATATTTGTATACACACACACATACATTCATGGCTATTGGAACAACTATTGATGTGAGTTTTATTCCGTACTTGTCTATATTTTATAAGTCGGTGGAACTGGAAATTGGATTAAATATTAAATGAGAACTGGTCTAACAGAGACTGAATGTACAGAATATCGGACTTTGGTCTCTTCCGTGGAACATACGTAAGGATGACAACAATCCAATGGAGACCTACGTAGTTCTTAGTCTCTGACTCATATGACCATGATACTTATTACTACATTGAATTGGTTTTCTGATATTAAAAAAAAAAAAAAATCAAACACCCAATTTTTCAATGTAATCCGGGCCTTCCGGCTAAATTGTTGAATTATTTTCAGTGACAAGCTTTTTTTAATATTATCATGAATACAATATGGACCACATTACATAAGCATTACAACAGCCAAAATAAAGAAAGGAAAAAGAAAACGATATAAGCATGATTTCTCTTTGAAAAACAGCGTTATTTTTAAATTGTGGGGCTTTAGATCGAGAGAAAGAAGAAAATAGGTCAAGACTTGAGATGAATTAGAATTAATAGATTAATAGTTTACATAAATTAATAAATAGGTTAAATTATTATTTTTGTCTATAATTTGTCTGGTTATGAACCATAACTTGACAAGTTATTGTCCATAATTCACGGTTTTTGTCCATAATTTGTCTGGCTATGAACCATAACTTGACAAGTTTGTCCATAACTTATCTGGTTATAAACCATAACTTGACAAGTTATGGCCTATTAATTTTTATAACTAAAAATTAGACTATATACTTTCTTAAATTTTTCATATTGGTCTATTTTCTACTCTTTTCGCTTTAGATTCTTACCATGAGCAGGACGGGCTTGCACCAATTGTCCTTTCAACAAGGATAATCTTTATTACGCTTAATCACCAAAAAAAAAAGGATAATCTTAATTAGGAATGCCACCGAAGTCAGGAATTATGTCATAACACGAGGGGTCAGAATTAAAATTTTGCCGAAATTCCCCATCTGATTATCAAAGGTGGTCTACTAGATAATCATCATTTATCAACCAAATTTTGCAAGAATCAACAGCGATCAGCATTGATGGCATTGTCCATATTAGCAATGAATAATCTAATATCGGTAATTTACAAGATTCATTCTTGAAGTCAACCCCTTCCACTAGACACCGGAGTAATCTCATAGATTAACACTAGTGATCTACCAGATTAGTTCTCCTAATCAAGCCATAAAAAATTAAAACCATAAAAGTCATTAAAAAAAAAACACTAACGACAAAGACAGTAACGAGCTAGCATCTGATTGAATGTTTAGATGTTTACAATACTTTTTAGGAGAAAGCGTGGGATCTGACTCTCTGAGTGATCTCTAAAAGAAAACAATGATATGTCTAACCTAACGACAAAGTGATCTTTACATTTTCTTTAAAAAAAAAAAAAAATGAAAGAAAAAAACGAATAAACAACAACGTGATAATTACCCCACACCTATACTTGGAGCTACAAGTGCAAACTGGCTATTGGTAACAAAACTATAGTACATTAAAACCAGCAGTGTGTATACATATATATATATATATATATATATCAATTGTGAAATGGAATACAGCTATGTTTTCTCCACTACCATATACGGGACGAGAATATTGGATTGAGACCGGGACAGGGCTAACGAAATTCAGAGTTTGGGGTCCCAACTCTCAAACTATATGGAGTGATGGAAATTGGGAATGGCTCTTCACTAGTTCTTTAATAACATGGAAACATGTCAGGTGGCCTAGTGGATTTTATGCACCAACAAATGTTTATAACAAAATCGACGTAATTAAAGTGAATTATTGAAAATATATATATATATATATATGATGATTTTCAGTTAGCTGAAGGGAAATGAACGACATATATCACAAAGCCTTGTCATTTGATGGGCAATTAGCTAGAGGGAATTGGCTTCAAAACACTAATAAACTGCGCTAACTAATAGAATAAGACATCAGTTAGGATATCATGGTTTGTACGTATTGAGAAAAGTGTATGTGTGTATTGTCCCATATGAAAAGTGGATGGGAATGTGAAGTAATTTATATATATAGAATGACCCAAGACTTAATAGGTTAACCTTTTTGGTGTGTTGGGCCAGTTTCGCATGTAGTGTCTCCTCAACAAGTAGTATCAGAGTCGATGGTTTGTATGGATCAATCGATCACACTCGGTTACAGTTTTCACGTTGCCTTCCGTGGTGATCACACTCGGTTATAGTTTTCACGTTGTCTCCCATGGAGAGTTAGTGTTCCCGCAGGTGCGCGGATGATGGAGCATTTGGTGGACTCACATGGTTTCGGCTCTCTTTCCCGTGCTTGAGTTGGCTCCCGTTTGGAGTGTGATGCTTGGATGTGCCGGCTACTTGAAACTTTAATTCGAGGACACACATGAGGGGGAGATTATTGAGAAAAGTGCATATGTGTGTTGTCCCACATGAAAAATGGATAAGAATGTGAAGTGATTTATATACATAGAAGGACCCAAAACCTAATAAGTTAATCTTTTGGGTCAAGTTAGACTTCTGAAGTGTGTTGGGCTAGTTTCACATGTAGTGTCTCCCCAACCATATGATATTACATTGCATTGCATCCCACATTCAATATTTGATTAGTTTGTCTTCCTCTTCCTCTTTTGACACACCAATCAAATTTTTCTCTAATCCAATGATTGATACCAATCGAGGATATTTTAGTAAATATGATATGGAGTGGATTAGAAGATCTTCATATTTTATCTATATATATTTTGGCTTTATAAATTATATGCATGTTTGTACTTGTGGAATTCTCATGGCTTCCAAATTAGTCCACCATTTCCGACTCATAATTTTTCTAATCTTATTCCTTCTTTTCATTGGTGTCAAGTCCTCTTCTTCTTCTTTTTCTTCTTCGTGGAGTTCAGAGAGATCAGTAGCGGACTACAAGAGATGGGTGTCTTGGAACGTCCAAAATTACCGGAAGAAAACTACCTTGAAAGCAGAATTAAAGTCACCCGCGGGTTATTATCAGAATGAGGCTGTGGATTCTCTTGACGAGAGACTGAAGAAGGCTGAGATGAACAAAATGAGGATAGCTGTTAGCCAAGATGGGAGTGGCGATTTCACAACCATCTCCCAAGCTCTCAACGCCATTCCACCACGCAACACTAGAAGAGTCATAATCAACATCAAACCAGGTGTTTATAGGTAGGTTATAACCTACATGATATGCATGATAATTATATTATTTTAACTGTTTTATAGAATTAATGTTTGAGCTGCATTGGTAATAACTTATAATAAAAGAAGGAATTAACATCATAATGTTGTAGGGAAAAGATTAACATTCCGAGGAGTATGCCGTTTGTGACATTATTCGGTGATGCCGATGATCCGCCGACTATTACCGGAAACGACACCGCATCCGGCACTGGAAAAAATGGGAAGCCATTGAGGACGTTTCAGAGTGCAACCGTTGCCGTCGAAGCTAATTATTTTGTAGCCCTCAACATTAAATTTGAGGTAAATTATTTATGCATTATACTTACTATAAACACAATTAGAACTTAATTACTGTGAGGTTGTCCATACTCTTAGCTATATATTAAAACCAAAGGATTCTAAAGTAACCATTTATTTAAACAACTTTTATCGATGTTAGAGTTGATCAAAGTCATATAGAAATAAAAAAAAAAATTATATGAAACTGATAGAATTGATATGTATTTTGTAAAAATCTCATTTATTCAATCCACATGTATAATTTGTATTATCCTTTGTCCTTTTGGAACAGGCTAAAATAATGAAGGTTATTCATACTTCTGCAAGAGTTAGGCTTAAGCAATTTGTCTTGGATATCAATTTTTTGTTTTTTTTCCAAGCACGACACACAAGATTCCGTTGCTACATACACTATAACTTTAGTTTATATATATATATATACGCTCACGCCTTCACGTACGCGTTCCTAATTGAACTTATAAATGTATGTAATTAATTCAACTTTAAAATTTGACATTCCATGTGATCGCAATTAACCAAATAAATAATTAATATGTAATTCTGAATACATACAATATCAGATAAATGCACTACGTCCCAAGTCCCAACAAGCTAATTATAAAGCCGTTGGGCATTATATATTATATTTCCTTTCATTTGGTCTAGCTAATATCATTAACTGAAGTATAATAATTATTATAATCATGAGACAAGATTGTGATTAACTATATAATATATTAATGGAAAAAAATTAATTAATTAAAATGGCAGAACACAGCACCACATGTGGTTGGGTTCCGGAAAGGACAAGCGGTGGCAGTGAGAATATCAGGGAGCAAGGCAGCATTCTACAACTGCAGCTTTTATGGAACTCAAGACACGCTCTACGACCACAAGGGTCTCCACTACTTCTACAATTGCTTCATCCAAGGTTCTGTTGACTTCATTTTTGGCTATGGCCGCTCCTTTTATGAGGTGATGATCACTTAATTATTTATAAATTAATGTAGTAAATAACTAAGGAATTTTTTCGGTAATTGAAACCACTAATTTTTAACCATCAAATAACATGAGTTTGATCTATTGTTATAGCAGTTACGTGCAATGTAAATTTTTAATGTGAACACTCACATATTAAAATGTTAAAATCTTAATTCTAACATTAGAAGTTTCGAAATAAATTATGAAGTTAATTGTCTAGTGTGATCAAATTCCTTTCTAAATTACTTGTGCTCCTAATAGATTATTGAGTGGTTGTTAAACCGAGAGGACTGAGAATGAGAAGACCGCTGATCCTATTTTCATTTGGAAAAAAAACAAATAAATAATGGTTTAAACTAAAAAGTAGCCCATTTATTGTTATGGACACAGAAATGTTATCTGCATTCAACGGCAAAGAAGGTGGCCTTCTTGACAGCTCAAAAGCGCACAACTTCATCACTAGAAAGTGGGTTTTCATTTAAAGACAGTGTGGTAACAGGAAGTGGGCAACTGTACCTTGGAAGAGCATGGGGTGACTATTCCAGAGTTGTCTTCTCTTACACTTTCATGGACAAGATTGTTCTTCCCCAAGGCTGGAGTGATTGGGGTGATCAGAAGAGAGATTCGTAAGTTCATCATTTCAAAACAAATTACACACAAATGCATTATCAATTACATATATATATATATATATATATTAGAGAGTTCATATATATAATTCTTAATTAATTATTTTTTTACAATTATATATATGTATGTGTAGACAAGTGTATTATGGTGAATACAAGTGTAGTGGACCAGGAGCCAACTTGAAGGGGAGAGTTGCATGGGCACGAATTCTAAGTGACGAAGAGGCTCAACCTTTTATTGGCACCTACTACGTTGACGGCGATACTTGGCTCATCAGCCCCAATTGAAACCAAAGCTATAAGTTTAGGAATTCCGCTACTTATTATATTAATTATATGATTATAAAGTAGCAATTGCCATATTATTGATAAATAAATACCGAAAGGAAAAACTGCCGGTACCATAGCAAGTTGGATTTACAATATGTCGTTTTAAGTTTTCATGTCGTTTACAGTTAAAACCTTGTTGCCGTTTGAGTCAAAGACGACATGTTGTTTTATATATAATAGAGTTTGCTGTCATCGAAATTATTATCGACATGTTTTTTGTGCAACTATTTAATAGTTGTTAAAAAAAAAAAAAAAAAAAAAAAGGGGTCATATCGTTTAAGAGTAAAGCTTGCGATCTTTGCAAGTCCTACAACGACATGATGCTTATTATCGTTGTCGTTTTTATGAGAATGTTTGTAATCGTCTAAATAGACATGTCGTTTGCAAAGAAAGAATAAAATAATATGTTGTCTTGAAAACTAACTTCGCCCCACATATGGCTGTTTGCATCTCAAACGATAGATAAAATGATGGCGTCTTTTGAAAAATCAATGTCGTTCCAGATAAAACTACATGTCGTTTTTATTCCACACTTGATAATTGATATGGTTTGTAATTAAATTAGATATTTATGTCATTTGAGACATTTTAAAAATATATTTTATATATATGGTATCGTTTTGCCAAAATTCTATGAAAAACAACTTATCGTTTGTGAGCTAATATAGATTGCTGTGGTGGGAATATTAAAACGGCATAGTTCACGTCTTCACGACCTAAGTTTAAAGCTTATAGTGGTCGTTTGACACAAAACATGCCGTTTCGCTAAATTTTGCGCTCATCGAAAATCAAGATGACATATTGGTCTGTAGTCTAAAAAGAGTTGTTGTAAGATTTTTTCCCTTAATATTAGGAAACTAACTTACCGTTATAGTGGCCCATATCTTCCACTTTGTAGGGACGCGAATAACGTTCGAAAACCGTCCATAATCGCTGCCCACGTGTTGTGCACGATTAAGAATACTCTGTGATGGACTGAGTATACATATATATACGAGTGCATTTCCTTCCGTTGGTCCCTAAGCCTTTCAATCTTATTCAGTAAAATACACCATCTATTTGAGATTGAGTGAGGATTAGAAGCGCCAAATCCGAGTTAAATATCTGTCAAGCGTAAGAAGTTATCAATGGCCGGAGGTATGCTTTCAATTCGATTCTATTCCGCAATATTGATCTAAATGCTGTTGAGTTTGTTAGAAGCATGTTTAGATCGTTTAAGATTTAAGTTTACATTTGGTATCAGAGCCTTGATTACTTCTGCCTTGATGTTACTTTGTTTTCCAAGAGAAACTCTGTTTACGCCGAAAAAAAATTTTCAGAAACTTTTTCAATTTGAAAAATTGAAATAATGATTTTCTTTGTTTTTTGATGTAAAATGAGATTAGAAATCATTAAGAAATTAGATTTCTAATATTTCTGCAATTTGCAACGTCAATTTTGGTGTATTAAACATATATAACGAATTGGGTCAAAATTCGGATCACAATCGGGTCGATTTTGACCCGTCTGGAGGTTGAAGAAGACATCCCAGGTGCTTGAAACGACAAGTCGTTTTCATTCACTGTGCAAAATAATGGGATATCGTTTTTGGCAAAAAATGTCATTTTTTGGGCTTCAGTTTTTCAAAAAAAAAAAAAAAGCTTTTTTTTTTTTTGGAACGGATTTTTGGGTTCTGTTTACAGAATTTATATGAATTATTTTTGTGCATAAAATCAAATGTCGAGTGATTCATATAATTTTAATTAATTAAGGAGTAGCCACAGCATCTTTAATTATGTAAAATTATATATTAAGTGCTTTAGGATCACATTATGACATTAATTGTGGTTAGTCATTTTGAATATAACGAATTTTATCCCACAGGAATTTTTGTTATATTTATATGACTAATTAGGATAGAATATCAAATTATATTTCTTAATTTACCCACAAGAATTAAGAAAAGGAACATAATTTAATAGTTTTATCATAAGGATTATGAGTGGATCTAATTGAATAGGACTTTAGCCCACAAGCAAGTTTTATGACACTAGATTCATGATTTACATTGGTAAAACATGATTTAACATATTAGTCTCAATTTGGATAATAAGCATGTATATTTAATTTTTGCAGTCATGCAACCTGCACATTTCTCTGATGTAAAATGTGACATTCCCGAACTAAAGGGTGACAACTATAAGGTATGGAAGGAGAGGATTCTTCTTCATTTGGGGTGGATGGATATTGACTATGCTATTCGGAAGGCTGAACCACCTGCCATTACTGCGACCAGTCAACCTGATGATGTTGACCGGTATGAGAAATGGGAGCGATCTAATCGCCTTTGTGTCATGTTTATAAAAACAAAGATCTCTGCTGGCATCCGTGGTTCGATCGATCAGCATGACAAAGTCAAGGAATTACTGAAGGCTGTTGATGAACAGTTTGTCTCTTCAGATACAGCTTTAGCTAGCACCCTAATCATGAAGTTCTCATCCTTAAGGCTTACCAGTTTCAGTGGTGTGCGTGAGCACATCATGCAAATGAGGGATATTGTGGCTCAATTAAAGAATCTAAAGGTTGAGATGTCTGAATCCTTTCTGGTGCACTACATTTTGAACACTCTTCCACATCAGTATGGACCCTTTAAGATATCTTACAACACACATAAGGACAAGTGGTCAATTAATGAGCTTTTGACCATGTGTGTTCAAGAAGAAGGGAGACTGATTATGGAATTGGGAGAGAGTTCATTGATGGCGACACAAGGAAAGGATGCGACTCAAGCCAAGAAGAAGGGGAAAGGTAAAATACCGCCCCAAGGTGGAATCAAGAAAGAGTCCAAATGCTTCTTCTACAAGAAGAAGGGACACATGAAAAAAGATTGCACCAAATTTCAGAAATGGCTTGAAAAGAAAGGTAATCCAATCTCTTTTATTTGTTATGAATCTAATATGGCTGACGTTAGTCATAACACATGGTGGATTGATTCT